CACAGATGCTAACCTGTCCAGACCAAGGAGCTGGCTGCCCCAAGGACCATCTTCTGCTCCCCTAGACGACCTCTTTAGTCTTTAGGTTGGTTCTAAAGGCTCTTCTCTGGGCCCCGCCACCACCAGAGGGGCAGCTGGCAGGCCCAGATGGGGTTTGGCATCAGTGGTGGTGAAGCCAAAAACGAGGAATACTTCCCTGGGGAGGTATGAAAGACTTATCTATTTGGGACGTGTTTCAGTGTTGACTATTGCCTGTACTGTTTCAATCAGTTTGTTTTCTAAGGTTCATCCATCCAATCTTTGCATGCAACTGGCTGCCTCTCTCTGCTATTTGCCAACCTGCCTCAAGGAGCAGAACTTTTTCACCTGGCCATTGTCTGCAAATGCAGGTAGCACCAGACAGTGGCCCAAGCGGCCACCCAAGGCCAAGACCTGAGACCACCCACAACTGCACCTTGCTCGTCCCTGAACGCCACCCTCACTTTTAACACCTTCTGTCACTGTAGGCTGGCCAAGGTGTGCAAAGATGAAGGTCAAAGAAGGGCTGCTCAGCCAAGTTTTCACATACATATGAAAACCTGTCCTGTAATTGTTAAAATTATCTCCCTTGGGAAGGAGTCAGTGGTGCGTATCAAGAGTGCCAGGTTCGTCACCCAGCTGGGCAAGAAAAGACTCCTGACCACTGGCCTGCCTTGGTCTAAGCTTGCTTCTTGTACCAAATGTTACGGTAACTGCTATTTTCAATTAAGTTCATTTCATTGTTTTGCAACAATAATTGTCCAGGTTTGGTAATTAGCAGACATACCAAGTCTGATGATTATTCAATTATTTCTGCCATTATTCAAATACAGATAACACTCTTACAATGCCGTGCCATCTTCTTTACTTACAAGTAAATTCTGCTGAGCTCAATGGAGTCTCTCCCTCGTCAGCATTGTTCCGACTGCAAACTTAAAATACTTGACTGACTAGTTCGCTCTGCTGCCATTTCTTGCGGGATGTTGTTTTGTTTTTCTTTTGTGACTTTATTAAAGTCTGGGGGTTTTGAAAGAGTTGCTCACAGAGGAGCAGGATAAAAATCTATTAAACAGATAACTCCTTCCTGTGGTTCTTTAACAGAACTGCACGTTGAACTTGGACTGCCGCCCTGCCCAAAGGTTTTTGCAACGTCAATTATTATCGTGAAGCCAGGCCAGGACAGGACAGGCCTCGTGAATGCTGCCACCTCCATCAGGACCGTTCTTCCAATATTTTCTTTGGTTGTGCTGATGAGAATTGCTACCAATGCCTGTAATCACCCAAGAGGGCACAAGGTGGCCCTGTCGGGTCTTGCTGCCTAAGTGGTGTCCTCTGTCTTTGCATGCAGTAACTACAATGTGAAGTACACGATGACCTTTTTCAGATGGAGAAGTCTCTTCCTTCTCCTCAAACCAACTCCAGTTCATGCTCAGTTCTGGAGAGGAGCACACACAATAATAGTACAAAAAATTATGACGAAAGAGATAAGCCTGAAAGGGTGAAAACAAGAAGGTGACAGTCATGGAAGGAGGAGGGAACGTGCTTTTGGTGGCCCAATGCACCCAGCACACTAAGCTGAAGTAGGATTGCAACTCAATCCACACAGCCCAAAAGTACCCATGGCTTTCTTGCGTTGTACCAACTTAGTCAAGGAACCAAAGATAAAAGGAGGCAAAGCTGGAACATATTAAACCTAACACATACGCAACTCAGAATGTTTGGAAAGAAACCACATCTCGAACATGAAATATATTTGTGTTGCCAAATTTAAAAAAATTGTTTAACTCTCTCATGTTAGAGGAAGGCCATTTCAACAGACCAATAAGAGTGGAGTCACAGGCCCGATTCTCACAGAATGAAAAGTCAAGGTGGGTGAATTTCCCAAAAGAGCTTCTTGATGCGCCAGTGGCCGCCATTTTGAACCTTGGAGCCATAGGGCAAATGCATCTTAGGTTGCCATTACGTGCAAACCCAGTGAGGGAGGGCTGCGGCAGGGCTGACAAGCCACCCAGAACCCATGGGTAGTATAGGCTTGTGGATGCTGCACTGGATTCACATGTAAAAGCAGCCTATGGTGCAGCACTTCCTCCGCTAGAATATTCAAAATGGCACCCTCTGCCACAACAAGACCACTTCCAGGGAAATCCACCCATGCTGATATTTCAGAATTGGAGAACCTCTTTTTTTGGGGAGGGGGGTCACTTGCAATGGGCAAGCATCAGATATTTCAGAGCCTCAGACACTGAAACTATTGAATAAAAATCTAAATTCTTGGCTACCGACATCACATTATTTTGAAGATGGAACAGATACATGGGATTTTGCTTCTAAGCTTTCCACCTACAGCAGATTATTTCTCTGCCGAGGGGATCAAATACCACTTTTCGGAAAGCATCGAAGTGCCTTGCTGGACTGGAACGGTACTGTGTGTGTGAGCCTGCGCATGCGCTCAGCGGGGTATACCCCCGAGGGCTCCAGGACTGGGGAAGGTGGGCAGATGGCAGACCTTCAGATCCCAGAAAACCCTGCCAGTATGACCAATGGTCAGGAACCCTGGAAGGGGAAGTCCAAAATGACTGCTGATCTGCTTTTTTATTCATTCGTCTCATCTCCCTGTTGTCCAGGATCCTTGCACCAGCCAAAGGGGGAATCAGTTTACAATGCTAACAAACATAAGCAGTTCTGTTGATCAGATGTGTGCCACTGTCTGCATGTTCAGAAAGCTCATCTCTTACATCATCATTTTTCCTCATAAGGAGGCGTGGTAAGAAAAGTACCAGCCCTGCACAGCCAGCATTCAATACATTGAAAAAGAAGTTCCAGCAACTGGAAAATGAAGACAGACCCCAGGAAATGAAGGCAAATGTGAGAAATGGGATTGATGGGAGTCAACTGAGAGAGAGACATGGGGGAAATGGGACCACTATTACATACACTATCCATATACATTCCTTTGTCTTATTGCATCTAATATGCTCAGTCTCCCTCGGCATAATTCACAGCTAATGAGTTTGAATATCAAGGCTGCTTACTTGATTTTACTTTGCGATTGCATTGCAGCAGCCTTCCCAAACCTGGTGCCCTTCCTATGTTTTAGATTCCTATTCCTACCGTCATGCTAACTGTGGATTAATTAGTCAAAAATGTCTGGAGGGCGCCAGGTTGGGGAAGGCTGGGCAGTGTCAGAAGCTTGTTTCTGTTCGCAACTCACCCCTTTGCCATGCCAAAAGTGTTATACCAAAGATGCCTTCCCCCAGCTGAGTGTTTCCAGATGTTTTGGTAAACAGATCCCATCATCCTCACCCATCAACCATGCAGGCTGAGGTTGACAGGAGTTGTAGCCACAACATCTGGACAGAATCAGGCTGGAGGAGGCTGCCAGCTCTCCTGTTGCCCTCACTACCAGCAACTTTTATCTTCTACAGATTTCAGTCCTCTGCACGACGGATGTCTCTCTTTTCTAAGTGTAGAGAGACCAAAGGTTTCATCTCACACCTCCAACACTTTTCTCCTGCAGGAGGAGAAAGCCAAAGAATCTGCCCACTGAGAGCCATATCGCTGAGCAAGACTCTTCTGCCCGAAGTCCAGCAGTTCCAGAATCTACATTGACATCTAGACAGCATCTCCAAAACAGAGGAGCTTGTGTGGCAAAGAGGTTCTTGCACACATGAAGCTGCATTTTAGTGGATTGGGACCCCAGTCCACCTCACCCTGTACTGGAAACTCTGGCCAGCCACAGCTCCCCAAAGACTTCAGCAGAGATTGTTTCCAGGGCCCGCTGCCTGAGATGCTTGTAAGCATCTTGTGACTTTTTGTAAAAGCACCCAGCAAAATAAAAGACAGGAGCAGGGACTGCGCTTGACTGCAAAACACTTCTCCACCACACCTGCTGATTTTGTGCAACCGCAACACAACTGCGCAGAAGAGCCCAGGAACAGCAGCTTCCAGCAGTGAAAATTGTTATCTTGTTACATGCAATAAAAGGGGAAAAATCAATAGGGCAGCATTAAATGTGATTTCAGTTTTGCTTTCAACCAAAGCTTATAAATTGCTTGACTTATAAATTATTTTTCTTAGAATCTTTCTAAATATCAAGGTGAGGCGTCTCAAGAGCAAGCTCCTCCCTTACTTTATGTGCATCCAACAAAAAATGCACAATGGCACTGAAATTTGCTAGTGAATTCATGTCAGCATATTCTAGATATTTACTTATTTATTTAACATCTATGCTGCCCAATAGATGATGCTGTGGTTTGCAACAATCTGCTATAACACAGTCTAAAATGTGCAACAAACTAAAAACATTAGGGAAAAAGATACTGTACCAAAAAAAAAAAATTAAACCAGATTTAGAACACTGTATGTTGATACACATTTAAAATACAACATTCCAATAATGATAAGCAAGATAAAACCTGACTGAACCTGAATTAAAAATTAGCAAAGCCCCAACCAATTAAGTGCTCTGTTGGAGAGGAAGGTTTTGATCTGGGGCCAAAAAGATAGTAGGGTTGGCATCGGGCAAGCCTTAATGGGGAGCTCATTTCACATCTGGGGCCCACCACTGAAAAGGTCCTGCTCTGTGTCTCCACCAACTGAGTCTCTCTCAGAGGTGGCGGTCAGAGGCAGGACCCAGAACAAATGCAATCAAAAAAAGTTTACTACAGCTCGGAAGTCGTCTGACTTGAGTAGCATTTAATCCATTTCACTATTTTGCTAATTAATTTTGTGAAACAATGCATATTTATAAATTGAACATTTGATGTGGAAAAAATGTAATGGAAAACAGTATGTAGAAAATCTGAACAATTCCAATGCTACAGCTTGGACAACACCAGGTTGAACACCCTCAGCTTCAACCCGATGGTTACATAACCCATTCACAAAACAGAATCCAGATGGCCACTTGTCCGCTTCCCTTGTAAAAGTGCATGGCTGTTGCAAAACAAAGACGTACATGAGGAAATAGCAAGGCAACTCACCTCTGGAGTGTTTTTCTTGAACTCGCGGCTTTGTTCAATAAGTTTCTTTCTTGATTGCTCACTTTCATCTTGTCGGTTAGCCAAAACTGTTGCTGTAGCATCAAGCTCCCTCTATTAAAAAAGAGAGAAAGAGACCATAATTTTAGCTATGCCAGCACCCTTTTCTTACACAATTATTTCAGGTCCCTTGTGGTGAAAGCGGATAAACTTCAATATCAAAGGATTTTTACCCCACGTTTGAACCATGCCTTTGTTCAACTATCCCATCAGTTATCTCTGGACAACTCCCACAGGGCCCTCCAGAGCCCATATGAATACAATCCACACAGACCACACACCTCTGCTTCCTTGGGTGGGGGCAATTTAGCCGCGAAAGACAAGAAAATCAAGAGGTCTCCTGATAGTCCATCAGTCCATACTAGCAATGTGCTGGAACAAGGTTCTTGGCATGACTCTCAATACAAATCTACAGAATACTGTTGCTCTTGTGTTCTTTGACCTTTCAGGGTTTTCAGGATCTGGCACAAGACTCAGCAAGAGGGCTGATTTTATTTCTCTCACTCTTTCTGTGGCCAGGAACAGGTTCCCCGAGAGCAGCCAATTCCCCCTGGCCTATTTCTTACTTTTCAGCTCATCGGAAAGACTCCCGATCACTCTCTTAGGAGCAACTTCAGCAATCAGGGATGGTCACTTTCTACGCCTGCTAACGGTTCTTCCACATCCTACTGCGCACACTCCTGTAAAATGCTGGAACAAGACTGCAGACAAGAATGCCCCTCCCGTTCAAGCCTGGTAGAGCAACCATTGCCAAATCTGCGCAGGTACCCTGCTACAACACCCAGAATCCTCAGCTACTGGTGGCTGTAAATAAATTCAAGATACATTTCTGCACTTAAGGGGTGTGCCCATCTTCGTACGGAGTTTTCCTTCGCTTGTGAATTGACACTTGCCTCCTTCTGGGGCCCTTCAATCTAGTCTGGAGAGTCTAAGCACTGCTGCCCTTTTGCTTGCACAAAACTAAGGCTACAATCCCGTTCACACTTATTGGAAAGCAAGATCCGCTGGACATCTGGTGTAGCTGGGTATAACATTTGTACTTCGATGCTGAAATCCTATGCAAGTCTCCCCAAGAATAAGCTCCACTAAACAAACTGGATCTTATCGCTAAGTAAACATACATGGGATTGTTTGCAAATACGACAAGCAGGGCCAAAAGAACAAGTTACGTGCGCTTCAATTTATAGACGATGCGTTTTCTGTTTCGGCAAAATCGGGTTGACAAGAGAGTCGCTACTGCAATGTCATTAACTCTGCCCCCAAATTTCCATTTGTACTTTCAAAAACTGGACGAGCCCCCCGACGGCTTCAAAAAATCTGGAAATGCTGCCTCTCCGGTTGCAGCCTCATACCACGTTGCCTCCCCCTGGCCCAGCCTGCACTCGGAAGTGGCTCTTCCAGCGAGAAGAGCTGGCCAGAATACTGGCCTGCAACTGCCTTTTGCCAGGACTGAACGAGAGGCCTTCTAGCCGGAATGGATGTGCTCTGTGCCAGAGTACCAGCTGCTTCATCGGATCCGCCATCCGTACCCAATAGGCTACTTTTCCACTTAGGCGCAGTGAATGGTGTGGGAAAGTGTCGGCGGAGCAGGCTAGCTGTGCCGTGATCTATCTCTGTACAATGCTTTCCTTGCCTCTCTGTTCATTCTGTGCAAGCACTAAATTCAAGCGTGCGCACCACATCCCCGTGAAGTCAACAGAAGTTGTATTATGTACCTTCGGGGAGGATTTGCCTCTAGATTTTTCTTTACTCCTAATCGATTTCCTTTCATCGCGAATAAATCTGACGTTCATGAGAAGTGAGAAAAACATCTCAGTGGTGAGGCAGGATGCAAGCACGGGGCTCTCTCCGCTCACTCTGGCAATGTAACTCACGTGTGGCCTGAAAGATCTGGAGCCAGCTTCCCATGGCAAAAAGACCCCCAGCTTGCTGCTAAAAACCCCCAAAACAACTAAGCCGAGTCTGCTTGAAGACCCTGGGACAAGCAAGAGTCTGCTTAGCACACGGATCGGAAGGTCTCTGAGTAGTCACTCGGGCTTACCAGCAGACCAAACTGAAACAAGAAAAATGAGGAAACTCAGGGTATGCGGACATCACTGACCCAGGATCATTAACTCGCTTCCCCCACAGAAAATTCCTCTTCCTCCTAAGTGGTTGATACATCTGCAAGAAAATTAAGACTCATCCTAAGTGATCCTTAACAAGATTGAAATCCTTATACAGAAGCCTGGATAAGCTAGTTTTAACTAAAGTTAAGGCAGATGTTACCTTATGTATACCTTAAGTATATTTAACCCAGGAGACTGCAATTTGCTCCAGACACAACTCACTTCAGTGCTCTTAACTGCAGCTGAAACCTGCCTTTCTGTGTCCCATGTGCCCTGTTTGGAGACACCATCACTTTTGAGGATGCTGGGCAGCTGCGTCCTGCTCCTATTCTAGACGAAACGGTTGCCTGAATGGTATTCGAGGGCTTGACTGGCAGGGTTGGAGCGCTGGTGCTCAACAGAGACAAGCGCATCACATGGAGCACTAGCAGTTGACAGCTGCCGGCCACACAGTGAAGCCCAACATGTGCACCACTCAACAGCCTTTCAGAAATCCTGGGAGGCCACATGGGGCTTTACACACGCCCCGCTGGCTCCCAGCATGGCTGCCCGTGGGTGCTGCAAGTCCCACCTTCCTTGGTGGCTGCCAGTCACCCAGACACATGGAGACAGGCATGGGTTCTACAGAAGGTGACCATATGCTCTTAGAACTACATGCAATTCCCATCATGCTTGCATTACTACATGCACTTTATGGGTAGTGGCCAAAAATCGGTGCATGTCATCTTATTCCTCAATTATAGTGATTTAACCTCTCCAATTCTGAAATAATACTGAAATGTATTCTGGGCCTTCTTTCCAAGTTTGGTTTCAAAGTATGATTTATCAACCACACCAGAAGGTTCCTGGAACTACTGATGGCCAATAAGTAAAATAAAATTGTCAGACTTGCTAACTGAAAAGAATGGCACACAGGAAAAGGGAGTGGGGAGGGGAAAGGGGAAAGAGAAGCAAATCAATTTCGAGCAGGACGGATGGGATAGTCCTGCTTCGCTCCCCGACTTCCCGGGGTGACAGCCCAGCTGGAGACCCCACTTGAGTTCCCCTGACCTGCTCTTGTCCCCTTGGTCCTCCTCCTCCACGTTTGTAAACCATCACACTAGCTCTGGAGCCCTGAAGGCCAGGGACTTCTTTCTCTTTTCAGTAAAGGTGGAATCTAACAACCTGCAGGAGATATTAAGAAGTTGCCGAGGGAGTAAATGTCTTCTAGACCTCAGGATCACAGCAATTCAAGTTTTAGGCACTTTCTTCTCACCATAAGGAAAAGTTGCCTGCATTTAAAATTCATTCTATATTAGTCGCCTGAGGCACCAGTTCTTCAGTTACTTGAAAGTAGGCCTGCTTGGACTCAACAAGGTTTTACACATGCACACATGCGTTGGTATGTTCAGGGCTGCACATTCAATTTGAGTTTAAGGTAACACCCATGCAAAGTCACATCTCTTAGGTGCCACAAAGTGCTTGGAAAGATCCCTCATTCTGCTTAAAACAAAGGCAGCATATTAGCAGATTCTGAGATGGAATGTGGTAGCATATGGGGAAGCTATTATAAAAAGAAGGAAATCCTTAACAGTTTGACAAAATCAGTGTTGAAATTCTTCCCAAAGTCAAGAATCCAAAAAGTGTGAGTTAGATACATATGCACATACAGAAACCATGTGGCTAAGAGCTAAGCAGGAGGCCTTTTCAAAAAAAATATTAACAATGTGTTAAAAAGAAGAAAGCAAAATATACTCTCCTCCCAATTCTGCTGCCAACATGGAGGATTATTCAGGAAGCAAACGAGACTCTGAGAAGAAGCACAATTCATACAAAAAAACCTCTCCAAGGTAAGTGACAGACTACAGTGAAGCCAACAAAACTGCTAATTTCTTCAAGAGACGTGGTGTGAACCTTCACTTGCAGTTTAGAGGCATTATAAAGAAGCCAGTATTTTCCTTGGGGTTTTTGTTTGGTTGGTTTTGGGGTGGGTGGCTGGGTGGGATTGTAAATTGGAATTCAGGTGTAGACACAGTGGATGCTGTGAACTTGGGAGGCATCAGAGACAGCACCTTTATGCCAAGCGGACTTGCAGGGAGATAAGCACGAACCTGATTCCTAGAAGAGGCCAGCTGCTAAAAATGAAAACCAAGCTACTTCAGATAGTAGATTCTGAGTGATATTAAGTGCAGCAGGGTAGAGATAGACAGACCACCAAATCAAAGTTTCTGAGTATTCTTATCAGTCAAGCACAGCAACATCCCTGGGTTAGACACTAGATTTTTGCTGAAACCAAACTATCACCATGCGAGCTACAACCATTTATCTCTCACGCTGTAAGATTCTCCTGCATTAGCAGCCTGTGTGGAAATCTTCACCAGAGAAGAGGACATTTAAGTATAGATTTCTGCATCGGAGTGAGTTTCCCTGGAGGACTTTGCCTGCTGGGGCTTTTTGAGAGCACAAGGTTTCCGCTCTTTAGGGAGACTCCGCTGGCTTTCACTCGGGGCTCCCAAGAGCCACCTCTTCCCACACAAAGCTGCCCAAATGCTCAATCTCATGCCTGCCCCTCCCTTGTGAATTAAGGAAAGTGGTGATGGAGGAGGGAAACTTTTTGCTGTGGTTCCCAGCAGGCGGAGCGCCCAGCCCCAGGCGGCCTGCATTGATGCCTAATCTGATGTGGAGCCATTTGCGTGAGCCTCCCAGCTGGTTGCTGAGCTGGGAGCAACCCGGACGGACGCAGGGCTGGGACGCATATTGCTCTAAAGGAGCGGTCCTGTTCGGGATTCCTAGCCAGCCGAAGCCTCTTCCAAAGTGGCGGGGCTGGTGGGGCAGGAGCCTTTCCCAAGCACAGGAGCCTTTCCCACACCATTCACTTGGCCACTTGCGCTCCATCGGGGGCCTGAAGTGCAGACTGCACGAAGCCTCGTACCTAGCCGGGCCCTGGATCTGCCCATGTCTGGCAGC